AGACCCTATTATGTAGAATTCTGTGGGGAACTGACATAGAATAAATTCAAACTGCAATTCTAAAGGGCAGGATTCAACTCTTTCAGCACCAATAAATCCTTGCCAACAACTCAAAAGTTATTTATATTTGGGGACGGGGATGTTGCAACAGTATTATGTTGTTAATTCATACACAGTTTATGAATCTGGTCTGTTTCTTCAGTAGTGCTCTCTGGCCGATTGTATCTGTCCTTCTGATTTCTCCTTCTGAACTATGGCACCTTTAACTTGTTTTTAATTTCCTCTGGTTGAATTTGGACCATTTATCAAAATTATTTTGAATTCTGCTCATGTCTTCCAAAGTACTTATACTTCCTCTCAACTTCGTGTCATTTGCTGTTTCTAAATGCACTTGCTATTCCATCATTCAATTTGTTACTGAAAAATTTGAGCAGAACTGAGTATACAGTAAGGTATCCTTTGAGGCTCTGCTCCAAAAAAAATCCACTTTGATAATGTAGACTTCATTTTTTCAAACAGCTGTGCACTCACCTTGTAGGTATGTTATGTGGAAACAGTGTCTAAAGACTTACTAAAGTCAAGCTGTTTCATTGCTACTATTTCGTTTGTTCACTGAATCAGTTACTCTGTCAGAAGAAATTGGGCTAGTTTTACATGATACATTCTTGACAAACAAATACTGGCTGTTTCTTGTCATCTGATCATCTAGTGCTCGTAAATGGATTAATTTTAGGGTGATAGGGAGAGCAAGTGCAAAATTGCAAATTGACTAGAAATCAAAATAACAATAAAGCTGACCAGCCTTTTCATTTCCCAGAATGAATGAAGTACAGGAAGATGAGCATAAAAGATGAAAAGCATATTTGATTTTCAAAGTTATTTCATTTCAAAATATCAGAGTGGGGACCTTAACACTGAAAAATGAAATTTCAAGCTATGGTATTGAGATGAAATTTACTCATTTCATTAAATCACAGAATATTTTTCTGTGTATAAGCATAAGAGTTTAAAAACTCCATGGAGCTGCATGCATCTAAGAGTTTTCCTGCAAAATCCAGCCCCCAATGCCATAGTTTATGGGGACAACATGATAATTTCAAAGACTGGAATCAGATCACTTAATTTTAGAAATCACCTTCAGAAATTCTTGAAGTTCATCTATAAAATATATATGTTGTAAGCTTAAAACCCCACTAAATCCTACAGTTCTCATTTTGTTTCTGTTCATTTTGATCTATGATATCAGAATACAAAAACTCTCTGCAGAATATTTTTATAGAAAAAGGTAAATGTTTTTATTGGTCTCTGCATTGCTGTTTCCACTGCCGCTAAAAAACATGTTTGTTTTTCTCCCTAGATAATTATCTTTTAAATTATTTTTCCACATGAACCATTTTAATTATTCCAAGTGACAAGTCAGAGTCAAAGCCAACGAAAACAGTGGTATCTTGTTGAAAATTTTAATTTGTACATTATATCAATTTTCACTTGAAACCTGTTGCTCTCTGAATTGAATAGCATGTACTTTGACTCATTCAGAATAAGAGTAATTACAGGTGGTCACAGCAGATTGGAATCAAAGTGCGCTGTACTACTGATTCTTGGATTAGCAACTCAGGTTGTTATTCTGAGGTAAGCATGAGATGATACACGTCTCAGATACACAAACACCTTTTAAGATGGGACTGCAAGATGGAGCTGCAAAGACTGGAGGAGAGGAGGGGGAAGGAGATGGCAAAAAAGACAGATAAATAAAAGCATCATGCTCCCAGCATAAACTGTATCCACATTAAGCTCACTTTGCCTGCATAATGAGATGTAATTCTGCAGGTGGACATTCCTTGTGTAGGCAAGGCCTTAATTAACTGGCTGAACTAAAAAATCTTGGTTTGAAAAGATGCTCAGAGAGGGGATGAACATACAATTGCATATTCTCATCTTAAGTTACCACTCTTCCAAATGCAAAGACAAAGCAGTAAAGACTATCTCCCTGAGGTGGGATTTCATACTGTTCAGCTGGTCTACTGCTCCTGCATGCTGAGCTCCACTGGTTTGCTGGAAAAAGCTTCATGCAAATTGCTAGCAGTTTAATTGTTCAGATATGAAGTATCCATTTTAACTTTCCACTTCAAATGTCCTGTCAAATCCTGCTTCTGGCGTGGTCTGCAGGAAACCAGCAAAACAGTGTGATTATATTGAAGATGGAGTAATATGGGCATTATTAATGCTTCTTCATTAACCATCTCTAAAAACATTTTGAAACACAAGTTTTTCTGTGCAGATGACTCGTGTTATTACTGTCACTTTTGTTCTTCCTTTCTCTTGTATTGTAGAATGTTTTAGCTCACGTTGTTATGTTGCTTTACTTTAGAAATCATTTCTGTGAAAGGGATCTTCTTCTGTGTTAAAATACAGTGCCTGACAGCTTGGGAACCTTTGCCTGGACCATTTGGTGTTACTGGAATATTAACAACACTAGCACTTTTTCGCTGAGATACAGTTTTATAATTATTACATTTGCAGAAGGGAGACAGACTCATGGTCTCATGATCATAGATGTTCATTTTCCACAAAAGTTAAGCTGTGAGAGGAATGTCACGGGCAATTTCTAGGCTATATCTATTCAGAGGACTCTGTTCCAGAACTAAGTAACTGTTGTAATACATGCCTCTTTTATTTTTGTTTTCCAAGAACATTTTTTCAGGCGTAGTTGATGAGGAATGTATTGATCCATTTAAATAGAAGTCGTACTGCTCTGCCAGCCTGAATCTGAGAGATAGCACTAGGTGTACACTGTTTTTCTAGTAGGAAGTCTCCTGTTCTCTATAAATAGACATGTTTCAGTTCTGATTGTTCTGTACTGAAATAATTGGCTAGATGTCTAATTACTCTAAACAGAAAACACAGATAATGGCAGGCATTCAAACCCTCCCGAAAAATTGTTCCTAGCAGTTAACTGTTCTACTTCCTGGGCACTGGCTCAGAAACACGCTAGGTCTGAGGGCCCTTTTCCCTTTTCATCTCTTCAGTACATTCATATTGATCACTCTGCTGTGTCCTAAAGGCAAATGATACACAGTGCAGCGTATCCTTTGGAGTCAGGGTTCAAATTCATCCCTGGTCAGGATGTGTAACAATAAACAAGGGAAGGAAATGAACTGCTTCTGAGAAATGGAGTTCTCTCCAGCTCCCTTTCAATTTGCACACAGCTAGGCATTGTGCTTTATATGTAATTATAATGATTTATTCAAAGGTGTTTACTAGGCAAAGGCCTAACATCTTGCTTATCTGATAATTACATAGCTGGTGAGGTCATCGAGTAGGTTGTTAACCCTGTCAATCTTTTGCACTAAAATGAAGTATTTGCTTGTACGTTTCTTTAATGTTTCATTTATTTGCTATATCAGTGCCATTTTTATCTACCTGTAGTTTTTTGTTTCTTTCTTTCACAAAGGATCATGTAGTGAATCTGTCTTGCCTATATCTCACATGCCTTAATTATACTGGTTCTCATAATGTGAAATCGAAGAATTCTTTACAGTAATGCATGCAGCGTAACTGAAAAATTAATCTCTTTATTTTTATCACACTGCTTATAAACATAAAAAAAGGTGATAGTTACTTTCATAGTCCTGGACCCATTCTGCACAATGAGTTCATTACTGTACTTAACGTAAATTGAGTGTTAAATCCCCTTAAGTGAAATCTTCACTCTCCTTGGCATTTGTGATTGTGGTTGTGATAGGAAAAAATTACATTTTGGAGGGGGAATTCGGCCAAAATAACTCTCTTTGTGGGCCATCAGTGGGACAAAATTTAGGGGATAATCTAATAAAATTAGGAAGGTATCTCACAGATGGAGAGCACAAAATAGAATAAAATGCATGTAATCTCCCCAACCTTGGGAAAAAGAACCAACCAACCAGTCACTGAAATAGCTGTCCTGCAGAGAGCTTTGGCCTGATGCTATATCCTGCCTTGGATGCTGTACAGCTTCCCTCGCTGCCCTTTCTGTTTGGAAGTTCTTTATTTCTAATTGTCATACTGTCACTGAAATGATTTACCCTTTATTAAACATATTCACAGTGTCCTCAACAGATGTAGTGATTCTGTTAATCTTTTGAGAGATGCCACTACCTCTAACTACTCCAGATTACGAAGGCTGTATACAGAAGAAAGCAAATAACCACTTGAGGGAGTTGACCAAGCTCGTTTGAAGCTACACTGGCATTTCTACACCACATCACATGCTGTGATATGGGCAAACTCCAAGACCTATTTGTACCTTCTAATCCACAATGGTGTTTTAATTGGTGCAATTTAGTTTTGTCTCTTCTTCAAGCAGCCATCTCTGACTCTGGTGTTGTTTCCTGGTAATAGAACCCCATGGTCCCACAGGTCAGCTTCACCCCAGAAAGGAAGCATCAGAGCTAGCTCAGAAGCTAGCTACTTGCTCAGCACAACTTAGTTCCCACTTGTACACCAGTTCTACGTGTTGGCAATCCGGTGTCTAATATTTAGGAAGCCGCTACACCAAAATTCAGGCTAGAAATTCCCACTGTTTGCAATAGCATGACCAGTATTACTTTCTGTAAAATTTACTTCCCCATAATGAAAGACCTCAGAAGATCACACTGCATATAGTGGATGTGTGTTATAAGTGTGCATGCTGAGGAGTTCAGAAATAAAAAACAAACAACAAATTAAAGCAGCACCATGTTATTGAGCTTTTTCATTTCTGAATGCTAAACAGGTCAAACACCAGGGGACTGGACATCAGTAGGCAGGTACAACAGGAGGTGCTAATTGTGAAATACCTAAATATAGTTCCAAAGGTTGAACTGTGGTAGTGAATATGTCTTTTTCCCTTCTGCCACCTGTAGCTGTTCATGTACTTAGCACTCCAACAGTTTGCTGTTCCTCAGGATTTGGCTCTAAGTATTTTTTGTTCAAATAGGAATTGCATTCTTTTTCAGTATGCTTCTTTTCTTTCCTGATAGGTGGTACAAGCCCTTGGGATCTTCTGATCTGCTTATCTTCCAGAAAAAATGATGGTACTGGCTGCATTCAAATAGAAGACTTGCATCATCTAGAGTTATTCCAGAAGGTAAGAGATTATTGTGTTATCCTTCGTGGGAATGAGAGGACACAGCTAGCCCAAATTTTCAGCACTCACTCATTTAAAAAAAAAAGCATCTAATGCTTATTTTATACTGCAGCAGCATGGTTTAACAGCAATAAAAAACGTTTTTTCAAGTATCCTATCTACTGAGAAATACTTGTCAGATACCAACATTTCATTCTTCTTTATATGACACCCAGTGATCAAAAGCAATTTTTCATTTGGACATAGTATGTTATTTTGGAGGTAAGTATTTCAGTGTAAATACTGAAAATTGTTACAACTGAGTGTCAAGTTTTCTTTTCATCTTCTTTAGCTTGAACTTTTCCGTTCTTGGCCACTCTCAACCAGCATGTCAGGCAGCAAAGGCATCTACAGAAGTCAAGGGAAATTTAAGCAATTTACCCCATTAGAAAACAGAATTTAGAAATGGGGAGAAACAACTAGCAAATGCATGCAATATTTCAGAATAATAGCATAGGCAGAAGATAAAGCTGGACTAATTTAGCCTTCACATATCACTATTGAGTTTCATCTGATGTAATTGCTCCCTTGTAAACATAATTTACGCACCTTTCCAAACAGTGACAGTGCTCCTACAATTGATAATGTGCAAGCTGGACCAGTGTCCTCCTTCAGGGCCTTCATGTGAGTTCCTTGCTCTGGCACTGCATTCTGCTTACTCACAGTCCAAAGCATCAGTGGTGCCAATATTTCTTGGTATTTTCAGGACTGCTTTTTTTTTTTTCACTTGAGCATGTTGTGGGCACAGTTTAGGTTACTTAGATATGCAAATGTCTAAATAAGCACCTGACCTGTTGGTAAAAATATGTAAGTGACTTATTTAAACTGAGGTCGTTCTTTGCAAAAATGTGACCAAACTATGGATACAGTTTGGCTTGTATTTCAAGTAAAATGACATACATAATAATGGCAGCACCCAAAGGTACAGACTCCTACTTGATGGACTGGGAGAAATAGAGCTACTGTTAAATGGTAAAGATACTGTTATATGGTTCAGGTGTGAAGTTCATGAGGATACGAAAAATGACTGCCTGTCCACAAAAGTCAGAGCTAGGAGCATGTACACTGGGGTTCCCTGGGACAGGATGCCTTATCTAGGTGTATCCAAAGTGAAATTTTTATAGCAGTTCCAGTTTGCTAGAAGTATACATTCTTTGGGTTCAGCTCTCAGGTCATAAAAACACCCCAGGCTTCTGCAAACTGCTTTTTGCTTATTCTACCCATATTATCATATCTGAGCCTCTAACACTGTGCAATATAATAATCCTTAGAGCACTCTGCAATGTCCAGAAGTTTCACACATGAAAAACTGAGACTCAAGGTGATCAAAGGAATTGTCCAAGTTCTCTCAGGAAGTCTGCAGCACAGCAGGGACTTAAACCAGATGGCCCATATCGCCGGATAACTTTAAATATTGGACTAACATTACTCGCTGCTGGCATGTCCATACCATGGTGCAACACAGTTCTTTGTTGCAGAGCCTGGATGTGGTTTAGCTACGTTAGGTTACCACTGTTCTCAAGCACAGCAATTCAAGAGGCATAGGCTAATTCCATGCAGGGAGAGACAGTGATTGATAACTGGCAGAGAACAGAGAAGCTGCAGAAACTGAAAAGGGGGCAGGGAAGGGGTGAAAACTCAGCAGGCAGGAGGAGAGCCATAAGTCTAAAATTTTGGTTTGTGATGGCCATGGAGGAAGACCGCACACTTTAACTTCATTATCCCACGTTGCAGGGATGGCAAAGTTGTCATTCCCTTTTGACACTGACAGTTTTGCACATGAGGTGTCTCTGATAAATTAAACACAAACCAATTGAAGGCTCCAGGAAAAAAAGCACTTTTCTGAATGAAATCATTAAAACCTCTCTTTTTATATACAGGTAAACCTACTTCCAGAAATCCAGCATTTCCTTTGCAGAAAAGAGGGATTATGCCAGATAAAAAAAGCCTTTTCAGGTAACCTAATTTCTTAAAATCTGCATATGTGATGATGGTCTTTTAATAGTTGTCACAGGAAGTCTCTGAAATGAGACTGTCAGGCTTACAATTCCTTTTTATTTTTAGTCATGAATGCATAGGGGGGGAAAAATGAAACAAGAATGATAATCGATCTCAGACACCACTTAAATACTGATTACAGTTATGCAGTATCTTTTCAGGTAAAGATATTGCATTGTTTAGCTATTGCATACTGCAGAAATAATTTGGCTCTAAGTGTCTTATTTTTGGACTGTTTTGTGTTAATATAGTGTATTGGTGTTTACACTTCAAAGCCCTGGGTTCGGTGTAATAAGTTTGTTCAGCTTTACAAAAATGTTGTGGCATGGAGAAGGAGTAGGAGTCAGAGTTTGGTTCCCGTCCAGACACAGTTTACTGATAAAAAGCCTTTGTGTATTAAGATCATCAACCAGAAGAGTTTAAAGGTTATGGGCAAGTTGCCAGAGAATTCTACTTTACTATGGGTGAAATTCAGCTTTGAATAGAAACTGGAAAATACTGTTGTGCACCATATTAGGTCTATTTAAACTACAAAGGGACACGTTATGATCTCAGTTACACTACTAAATATCCAGCATCAATGCTATTTTGGATTTATGATCTATCTTCACTACATAAACTTTGCTGATAAGAAATTTTGTCTTTTTTTTTTTTTTTTGTAATCCACTAACAACCAACCCCACATTTATTCCATTAGTGTTTAGCCTTGTTTACAGACAAATACACAAGATTGATCAGTCTGATCTTTCCTTTCCTTTCCTTTCCTTTCCTTTCCTTTCCTTTCCTTTCCTTTCCTTTCCTTTCCTTTCCTTTCCTTTCCTTTCCTTTCCTTTCCTTTCCTTTCCTTTCCTTTCCTTTCCTTTCCTTTCCTTTCCCTCCCCTCCCCTCCCCTCCTCTCCTCTCCCTTTTTGCCTTTTATATATGTGCTATATTTAGCACATAAGGAAAGGATTCATTACAACTCTTTTCATTTAGATGTTAGGTGTCTTCTGCAGCAGTATTCCCCTTAAGTCAGTGGAGAGAGAGGGGCACCTATAAACACTACTTCATTTTAACCTAAAATATGTGTTTAAAATAGGTGTGTTGAATTAGCCTCTGCAGGTAATTACTACCCAATTATCTTTCACCACTGACTGTAAATGGAGCCTAGACAAGTAGCTTAGATTAAATACCTGACATTTGGATGCTTGACTAAAGTTGAGGTTAGGTGGTTCCTAACCTAAGCATACAGTATTTTCCCTTTTAATTTTTGTACTGTTTCATTTAAAGATTGATCAATATTTAAAACCTATGATGTGAAGTGTTTCCCTTAAAGAACTGTATGTTGAGGGTCAGTTTAAATTGGACATTTACATTTTCCTGGTGCAGTACATTGTAAAAACTGATCATAATGAACATGCAGTATAATAAACATCTATCCCAGTCCCATGAGAGTCCTTTATCATGAAGTCATATTACACCAGGTAAGGGATATATTCTTTTTTGGCTGACTTTTAAGTATGTCTTCAGTGATGCCTAATACCTTGATTCCCTTGCACTGAAAAGTGAATTAGAGTATTCATAGAATAGAATAGAATGAAATAGAATAATACTATATTAGATATAGTACCAGCTTCAGAAAAAAACTGAGCAGATTTCTAAAAATTTCAAGGACTTCAGGAACTGGTATGTCCTACTCATATTGTAACAGAGTACCTTTAAAAGACATTGGCTTGCCCTGCTACTTGGAGAAAGGCCAATTGCAGTGGTTTTATTATTTTGGTACCACAAAACCACAAACACAAGAGGTGCTCACCACACACAGAGATTCCTCCTTAAAATATGCACATTTTCACTGGTGTCCATAAACTGTGGTACAAGCCACTTTGTGTATGTGGTCTGTTAAGCTGTTTTGGTGTATTGGGTCTGCATAGCAAGGTTTTGGTAGTGGCGGGGCTACAGGGGTGGCTTCTGTGAGAAGCTCCTAGAAGCTTCCCCCATGTCCAACAGAGCCAATGCCAGCCGGCTCCAAGTTGGACCTGCCGCTGGCCAAGGCCGAGCCCATCAGCAATGGTGGCAGTGCTTCTGGGAGAACATATTTAAGAAGGGGAAAAAAAACCCCTGTGCAAGAGCAGCTGGAGAGAGGAGTGAGAATATGAGAGAGCAGCAACCCTGCAGACACCAACATCAATGAAGAAGGAGGGGAGGAGATGCTCCAGGCACTGGAGCAGAGATTCCCCTGCAGCCCATGGGGAAGACCATGGTGAGGCAGGCTGTCCCCCTGCAGCCCATGGAGGTCCACGGTGGAGCAGATATCCACCTGCAGCCCGGAGAGGACCCCACACTGGAGAAGGTGGATACCCACAGGAGGCTGTGACCCCATGGGAAGCCCACGCTGGAGCAGGCTCCTGGCAGGACCTGTGGCCCCGTGGAGAGAGGAGCCCACGCTGGAGCAGGTTTGCTGGCAGGACTTGTGACCCTGTGGGGGACCCATGCTGGAGCAGTCTGATCCTGAAGGACTGCAGCCCGTGGAAAGGACCCACACTGGAGCAGTTCATGAAGAACTATCTCCTGTGGGAGGGACCCCATGCTGGAGCAGGGGAAGAGTGAGGAGTCCTCCCCCTGAGGAGGAAGGAGCAGCAGAGACAACATGTGATAAACCAACCTCAACCCCCATTCCCCTGTGTCACTGAGGGGGAAGAGGTAGAGAGATTTGGAAGTAAAGTTAAACCCAGGAGGAAGGGAGGGGTGGGCAGAAGGTGTTTTAAGATTTGGGTTTTTTTCTCATTATCCTACTCCAATTTGATTGTCAATAAATTAAACTAATTTCCCCAAGTTGAGTCTGTTTTGCTGGTGATGGTAATTGGTGAGTGATCTCCCTGGCTTTATCTCAACCCACAAGCTTTTTGTTATATTTTGTCTCCCCACCCAGCTGAGGAGGGGACTGAGCGAGTGGCTTTGGTGAGCACCTGGTATCCACCACACCGCCTCTTTAGGGAAGGGCCATTTGTAAATATCTTATTCCATACTTATATTATTAGTGCTTTCCTGACAAAGTGAAAAGCCCTTCTGACTTATGCTGAAATCCCACTGAAATCAACGTAGTATGTGTGCAGGGGTCTGGGTCCTACCCACCCAGTAATGGAGGATTATTCTAGCAGTCTGCTGAAGGACTTTCAGATGGAAGAAGGCCCACCCCTCACCTTTCAGTTTACCAGTAATAAAGATATTGTACCTGAATTAGCTGCAGTGTTTTAAAGTAAAAAAAAAAAAAACCAAACGTCTCTTAAATCTAGGTTTCTCCACATCAGCATGTGTCCTAAGGGCTGAGGTAGCTGTTTCAACACAAGGGTCTCATGCCACTTGAGACACCATGGAGAGTCCAGGATGCCCAGTAGGATGGGCAGATTTGGCACAGAACCTTTTTGGTCCAGCAGCTGGAGGCTCAGAGGGATATCCTGTGGTGTCCTAGATGGCAACAGATGTCTACGTGTGGATACCTGAATTTAATACTTGGTATCTAAGCTCCCAAAATTAACAGAAGTACAGTTTAGAGTGAGCAAGCCCAAAAGAGCATCTACTTTCAGCATAATTTAGGGTTAGCTGAATTGCTCCATGCTGACTGTATAGACTACACTGACATCCCCTGACAGGAAAGGGAACTTAGACTGTGGCACACAGGGGGTCATCTTTGTATAGACCAGACCTCAAAGTGCCTCAACCTGGAAATGAATCCCATTCAGTATCACTGAATATGTGACATCTAATTTACTATGAGTGAAATTCACCTATAGAAGGTGAAATTAGAATCAGAACGGTAAATTATTTGATTTCAGGTTAAGAAGACAAAAAGGCATAAGTTAAAGCAAACTTCTAGAGCCAGGATTTCAGATACTCTCCTCCCCTTCCATTCACCTGACAAAGCCAGCTCTTTCCACTTCTTTCTTTTGCTTGCATCTTCCGACAGGCCTTTCTTTCCAACAACAGCAAAGTTGTCAATTATTAGGATTTGTTTGATCCTCAATTTTAAAATTATTCAGGGGAAGAATGGTTTTCTTCAGTATTTCCTCCACAGAAGAGTTTGTTTCCTTTCAAACCAGTCATGTAATTTCACTCTTGCGTGTTTGAGTCAACAGGGCTTCTCTGCAATTCCCGTTGAAGAGGATCAGTTGGTTTGTTATTACTGTGTTTGTCATTTAGTCAGCCCCCAACGAGCAAAGCAATTTCCTGTAAAAGTGAAAATACAAAGTTGCTGCTCTAAGAATTATGTGATCTAATTAAAGACACTCTAAGTCGTAGAAAGAAGTATCAGGCAGCAAGGCGGAGAGGATGGGATCACTGAATTTACTGTGGGTATGACAGTGTTGATACTGATAAGCAGTGGGTACAAGGGTGAAGATTATTTTTTTAAAAAATGTTGTTCTCTGTTGTCATGCAACTCTAAAGCTGCTAGGTTTTGTATTTAAGAGAGCATGCCTTTTCTCACGCCTCTGTTGTATCAATATAGGAAAGAAAATTAGTTGTAGAAAATATCAGGTCAGTGCTTGTTTCTTTGCTTTGTCTCTTCAGTGGATAATCTTTTTGTCAGTCTGAAAACTCAGATTGGTTCTGTCTGTATGGGGGCAAAAATTATGCACATACCAGTGATGACTGCTTTTAGGAGACAGGAGAGAGGCTGGGAAAATAAAAAAAGTTAGGAAAATCAGACCAGAAGAAGAGTTTAGAGGAGCAAAAAGGTAAAAAATACATGACGTGTGCAAATATTGAGTAAGAGAAGGTGTTGCTGGAGGATGGGCACATGTGGCAGTGGGTTTGTGATGAGGCATAAGAATGGTAATGGACCTTAAAATTCAGCACGGAAGACACCAATAAGTGCTTCAGCCTGAGCATATTAGTTTCACTCCTGCTTTTGCAGGGCATTTGGCCCAGTTTTTAATCGGGTGCCTGATGTCTGCTCACTACATGAGACTTGGGCCATG